AGGCCGTGGATTGGCAAGAGCAGCCTCCTCGGCCTGGCTGGCCCTTCAGGCAGTCAGGAGGCAGGCCGTGGATTGGCAAGAGCAGCCTCCTCGGCTTGGCTGGCCCTTCAGGCAGTCAGGAGGCAGGCCGTGGAAGAATATAAGTACCCCCCCAGGCACTTCACAATTCATTATTCAGGAGGCAGTAGTCTTCAGGATTCGGGAGCAGCACTCTGGAGGGAGCGCTGCGTTGTAGTAGTGGTAGAATTAGCTTGTAGTCTTCAGCGCTGGGCGCAATAGGTAGCTGTAGTCTCCAGCGCTGGGCGCCATAGCTAGGATAGTGTTAGAGAGAGAGAGAGAGAGTTTGGGCGGAGGCCAGGAGTACTTACCTGCAGCGCCGTTGCTCCAGCTTCATCTTCGAGGTACCTGCAGCACAGCACCCACATCACAGGTTAGTATCTGGTTCGTAGCAGTGAGAGACAGAGTCTTCTTCTTCCTCTTCTCAGTCCCCCCCCATCTTCTTCTTACCCTCTCAACTTCTGACTTCCCTGCAGTTGCAGACTACGAGAGAAGAGATACCGGGCTTGGTGACATATGATCCAGACTCRACTTTTTGGGGATTCAGACATGGCAACGAGGGACTATTTGGGATTGGTGACCAAGACTTGGTGTTAACGACATTCCCATCTTCTTCCCTCCTTTCGTCTGATCCTTATCTCTTCGTCTGTGTATGTCTGGACCTGGCGCTATCTTCCTGTGTGCAGCGCCAGGCTCCTTCACACTTCGTGATGGATACAACGCATGTTTAGTCTGAGTTCAAACATTGATTGGGCTAGTTAGAGGTACTCTAGCATTCTGCTTCGTTACTCTGAACTACGTGAATGAGGTCAGTCCTGTCAGGTCAGTCTTTGTATTAAAGTCTTCCCTGCGCTCTTCAGCATCTTTATGTATGAATGAGAATGTACATTGCTTGTCGAGATTCTACTCGTACCGCATTGTCTATTCAGTCCTTTTCATCACATTGCAGATTCTCGGTTTATTACGTACATTGCAGATCTGTGCATGTAACACGCACCTAAAGTCACGGCGGTGGCGACACACAACCGTTGGAGAGAAGAAACAACGTTTTTTTTTTTTTTTTTTTCCAGCCGAGAGCCACGGTACAGTGTGGGATGATGTCAAGTTTTTCCCACAAGTACTTAAACTAAAGAATGTCGGACCAAAGCCTAAGAGACTTGATTCCTGTGGCTGAGGGTGCCGGTTTGAGGTCGTGCGTGTGCGGAGGGGCCTGAAGCCCTAAAGCACGGATCAGTAATCCACTAATTTACCACTGGGGGGTTCTCTTGTCACCTCCAATAGCAGGCCTCCAACAGACGTGTTTTGAAAAAAAGAAAAAAAAACACGAAATAACTAGGCTACCTGCCGGGCCGCTCGAATCACCATGCTTTCCCGGGCGGCCCTGCCGTGCGAGGACCAGGGAAGGTCCAAGCAAAAAATAAAAAATAAAAAAATCCAAAAACTCCTGTGTTAAAATCCGGGCCGCCCGGCGGCCCAGCCTTAGTCCGGCAGGGGTCCCGGGCAGCCCGGCTGGTTGGGTCCCCCGGTTTGGCACCGGGCGGACCCAGCGCAATTTTGCGTGTGGGGGGCGGGGGGGAGGGGAGGCCTTTTTCGGCCAGTGGCAGCCTCCCCGGCCCCCAGGAGCACCTTGAAACTTTACATTTCGATTTTCGGAGGACGGTAAGGCGGGGGAAAGGCCTTCTTCGTAAGTTCTTCTTGTTTTCGGACTACGTTGCAATCAGCCGCCAACAAACGACCTCATTTCCCCCCCCTGGTTGCCTACGACGCCACGTTCGAATTCGAACGCGGTATTTTCCACTTTGCTGCCGTCACGAAGCTCGCCCGCTGTCGCTGCCGTCTCGAAGCCCACCCGTCGTTGCCGCTGCTCGCCGTCTTGAAGCCCGCCCTTCTTCGTCGAGCTGCCGTCGTCGCTCCCCGTCGAGCTGCCCCGTCGAGCAGCCCTCCCCGTCTTCGCCGCCCGTCAAGCTGCTGTCGCCATCGTGGTGCATCGGCATCCACCTCCTGCCTTCCTCTTCTTCTTCTTCTTCCTCTCCTCCTCCTCCTCCTCCTTTCCTTTTCTTCTCCTCTCCTCCTCCTCCTTTCCTCCTTTTCTTCTTCTCCTCCTACTCCTCCTCCTTTCGTCTTCTTCTCTCCTCCTCCTCCTCCTCCTCCTATTGTCTTCTTCTCTCCTCCTCCTCCTTTCGTCTTCTTCTCTCCGTCTCCTCCTCCTCCTCCCTTCGTCTTCTTCTCTCCTCCTCCCTATTTCATTGGTTTTCTTTAGAAGGCGAAGTGCCATGTGGCAGCAGCAGTGCGCTTAGAACTGCCGCGTGTTGGGATCTCTCTCTCTCTCTCTCTCTCTCTCTCTCTCTCTCTCTCTCTCTCTCTCTCTCTCTCT